ATGGCCAAACGGCTCCCAGTTATATTCCGGCTCACGGCCAACACCAGTGACGATTATCGGAACCGGTCCTGGGCCTCCCCTAGGTCGACTCAGCCTCAAATGAGTACCTCTTGGTGCGGTGTGTAAACATCGCCGCTGGGGGGAGACAAACGCGGCCGGGCGTGGTGCTGGCCACCGACCCGACTGTGCCGTGCCCGCACTTGCCCCAACAGTCAGTCACGGCTATACGGGGGACCTTTGTCTTTGTTATCGTGTAGAATTCTCTGGCACCAAACTGCTTGGCCTTTTTTGCTGTTTATTAAAGCGCCCATTGTGTCCTGACGCCGATTATGTTGTCTCTTATAGCGCACTTAATTTAGTTTTATTGTAAATCGTAATGCCTTTACAATGCCTAGCCCCGAATGAAGACTTCTGATGGATATGACACGTGCACGTTATATATATGCGAACGGATTAAGCGCGTTGCAAAACAAACAAAAACCCACGACGCTGCTAAAACAACGCAGCCACATCTCATCGCAACGGGAATATACACTGCGCGCGTTTCTGGAAAATAAGCCGCACACACACACACACAGACCGGAGTATAAGACGCAGCCCAACTTGAGAAGACGCACGTGCCGCGGGAGAGGGGGGGGCGTGCGTCTTATAAACCGGAAATAAAACGCAGCGTCTCAAACCACATTTTTCTCTAAGTTGTTGCCATACATCTTCTTGGTTCTTTCGTTAAAGTCACGTAGAATGGAAATAATAAAATAATAAAAATAAATATAATAAAATAATTCTCAAGATCGTTTCGGCCACAACGCAAGCAGCCGTCCTCAGGTGGAGAACAGGTCTGTCGAGAAGACAGAGTCTGAGTCACGAAAGCTTTAAATCAAAATTGTTGCCATACGTACAAGCCGACTAATGGAGATCGTACCGGTTGCGAAAGTCTCCGTGTTATGTGTCTCGCAAATAAAAGTGGGAAATTCCAAAAACGTACTCACAGCCCAGCCAGAGTGTTCATATTCGAGCAGCAACATTCCCCAATTGCGGTGAGTTGCATTTCGTGAAAACATGGCCAGGCATTGATTGCAGCGCTCCCTTTGTTACAACTACAGCGCTGCATTTGGGGTGGCGGTGGTGCAGTCATCACACTCGTGCCTCACCGCAATAAGTAATATAAAAAAAACTTCACAACACGCTTTAATGAAATGTACCCTACTAGTAATGGGAAGAACTCCACGACTCCAGGAAGTGGCCCCGAAGCTTTGCCATAACGTCAGATGGCCGTGGTGATTTACAGCCAACGTGAGTTGAGCATGGGCAATTAGACCCAAGCCGAAACATAACATATAAAAAACAATGTTAAAAATTTTGTTATTTATCTATTTTTAATGATAGAATATAGTATTGTCATCAGTATGACATAAGTATATCAATTTTGCAGTCGATACCACATTGTGCAGTGGGTAAAAATTGAGTTACAAGATTTGAGGATAATAAAAAGCGTGGTTTCCTCCGGGTTTCCCGGTTGTCTTCCCATATCTAAAACGACACACTGTCTATGTGGTATTGGCCAAACACCCCAATGACGGGAAAATGTATCTGTGAATTTATTGGCTTACACGTAGCAACATTGCCTCCTACTGAGAAAACTCGGCAGTGCCCTCCTGAATCAGGAGTTGAGACCGCTCACGATCATGTACTTTGTTTTAAATTTGGTAATATATTACAGATATTGCACTGTCCATACCCATAGTCTGGGCTCCTTTAGGTAAAATAAACCTGATGGTAAAAAAAAATCCGTACAGTAAATGAATGAGCAACGCAGCAGTTTTCTGGCTGGTACATGTGTCATGGGCATTGTTCCACCCGGCAAAGGTTTCAGTAGTAACATGAAATAAACATTCCTCGAAGCATTTTACAGGACTTGTCTCTTTTTACCAACAACATAGCATTATGCCGATTCCTTTAACATGGGTGCAGTGATAAAAAAAAGTAGTTAACATTTAAATAGTTGGCGTGGTATTGTTAATCGTTACTTAAGTTATTGTAATTCATAATACCTACAATGACTGAGTGGCAGCCCAATAGAATGTCCCCTCTTGAGATGGAGCGAGTAAAACACATTCCTGCGGAGGGAGCTGGTAGGAACGTTGGGTTGCTCGGTCAATGGCCAGGGTCAACGGCGGCGCGGTGTATTCCGCAAATATGCCTGACTGTGAGGGCGGGCACAAGCCGGCGTGAGTAGGTTAAACGTTGAGTTTTATAAGGGCACCACGGGGTGACCAGCCCCTCCCCTCCCCACCCAGCCCCACCCCTCCCACCCCCCACCCAGCCCTCCCCTCCCCACCCAGCCCCTCCCCACCCCTCCGCACTCTCCCCACCCAGCCTCTCCTTCCCCATCCAAACCCCTCCCTGCACGACGGACGGACACAATAATCCCCTGTGGGCTGGTGGAACTAGGAGGTTCTTACCAGTATTAGCTCGTTTGTAGGATTTGGTAGATTACGACATTGAGAGATGTGGGGGTTACTTAAGCAGCCTTTATCGAGCAGTGGATCAATCATGGCCGCTGCTGATAATTATTCTGATGGGATGCACAGCTACTGATGGCACATGCCAAAGGGGTTTGAAGGATGATGTTTACAAATAATCATAATAATTGTGTTATATGCCCATGGGGGCATCCCTGCGTCTTAAGACTGCCAGGAGGATCCTGCATTGGCATGTTTGGCCAATTTCATGAATGAGTGTGTTGCATCATATGGGAGGAAACTGCACTACCCGGCAAAAACCCACCAGGTATATGAGGGGATAACACTCAAAGGCCCACACGCAACTGAAGTCAAGGATCCATCTGCAATAATGGCACCAACGATGTTTTGTTCAATCTTGATTTGAAGCTTTCGTGACTGCAGGGATCCATACTCTTTGGTTCTTTCGGTGAAGTCACCTGAGGACGATCGCTTGTGTGGCGATCGAAACGTCGTGATCTATTATTATTTTTCGATGTTTTGTTCTTTAAATAATCCTTGGCGGATGAAGGAATCGCAGACAGTTGGGTGGTGTCTAATGATACATTTTAAGTTGGTGCCCCATTTGTCCTTAATTTGCCCCCCCCAATCGCAAAAAAAAAACCCGAAACTTTTAAAATTTCAGTGGCGTTTCTTCAATGTTTTATTGACCTCGACTCTATACAGCGACGCGTAGGATGTTGGTCACGTACACAGACAAGGACGACGCACCGGGAAGATATCTTTCCAGAAGCCTAATCGGTCGGCGGTCAACTCATCGTACATGCAAGTGGGTGCTCATTTACATCACCCTTTAATTTAATCAGATATAGGTACCACTTTCTCACGCCATTGCTGGCAGAGGGGCCTCGAGGGTATTTGGCCTACTCTTCCACGCTGTGGCCAGGTGTTCTTGTAAAAGGTGAGAGAGTAACCACGCATTTTACCCCACCGAATGTGACCTGTGGTGAGCCCAGTTACACTGCTTGAGTGGACTGTGGTGGGGAGGGAGATTTACGAAACTGGCATCATCGTTCTCACTGCCGCGCCAAGATGATCGAACCTGGCAGACTGAAGCCCAGGGTGCTCACCATTAACACCACGGCAACACCACCTAATTTTCGTAAAAAAAAAAGGTACATTATTTTAACACCGACGAAGATAGCAACGTTCCAGACGTCATTATTAAATAAAACAAAACCCAATAAAAAATGCAGCTTCTATTGTTGCAACAAAAAAAGATCTGACTTTCAATATTTGACCAAGCCACAAAGTAAAGAGAGCGAGTGCAGGGGCAGGGTACACAGAGTGGCTCACTCAGCCGTGTGGTTGCTTTTGACCACTTTTGGGTTCAAGCTGAATTGAATCAACAGGCAAGACATTCAATGGCAATGATGTACAGACTGGCCTCTTTTATATATATATATATTTTACGCCCCATGATAGACTTTGGCCAATTTGTGGAGAAAGCCAGCATTCAATGTCTCCCCATGTATTTGAGGGTTGCACCGGATGTTGCCTCGGCATGATGTCCAACGTTTCGGATTGGAGCATCTTCTTCAGGTCCTCCAAAAAAAACGCCGGGGAGAGGGGGGGTACAGTACAACTCAAAACCACATTGCAGAAGGTCCACAGCACATCCGGCAGTATTTGCGCGTTTACTCTTTACACGCATTTCGCATTGTTGTTTTGGGGCAGTGGGTGGCAATTCATCATTCCTATGGGCAGGGGCGAGCCTGTCAGAGAACAACCACCTTGTTGACCTATCCACAAAGTTGGTAGCAACCTTGCAGCACGCTTTGCATGCGCCATGATGGCGTCGCCATTCTTGCGCACATTTCTTCACACAGCCTCGCCACGACCAACAAGTCGAGAGCCGAGACTCACGTTTCATAGCAATGTCCGCACGCCCTGCTGGTTTTTGTTACGATTAAGACTCATCAGTACACTTTAGCCGTCACCCGCGCTCTCCTGGCGCGCGTGAGTGCGTGTGAAGGACAAGGCCGTCGGCATGAATGTGTGAAAAAAGATGTCACGTGTAATTGGCCTACTCTTCCATGCTACACCTCTGAATTGATCATTGATCAGATTGATTTCAGGTTATGAATTGAGTTTCCATGTATTCGTGTCTAATGCGGCAGAGAAATCCTTTTGGCCACATACTTTTTATACCAGGTTTATCCCTCCTAAGAAAAAAACCGCACCCCATATTCTGCCCTCATGTCGTAATAAGGCACGTCTTCCTCTTGTACAGCACCTTCGAGTGTGGTCTCATTGCGACACGTTTACACATTTTATTGCACAAGGCAGCGCTGTATCTTCTTGGTTCTTTCGGTAAAGTCACGTAGAAGGGAAGTAATAAAATAATAAAAATAAAACAAATAAAATAATTCTCACGACGTTTCGGCCACAACACAAGCAGCCGTCGTGTGTTGTGGCCGAAACGTCGTGAGAATTATGTTTATTATGTTTTATTTTTATTATTTTATTACTTCCCTTCTAAGTGACTTTACCGAAAGAACCAAGAATATGAATCCCTGCAGTCACGAAAGCTTTAAATCGGAAGCAGCGCTGTACTTCAACACGACTGCCCACGCAGCCTTCGTATTTTCACACACAGCTGATAACGATGGCACAATTGTAGCTTTTCGTTGCGGTGTATTTTACTTTTCAATTCCACGTCACACTGTCGGCTCAAATGATTCGTTGTGGAAGAAGTTTGTGAACAACACACACGGTACGACTCTTGAGACACATTGGAGAGCTACGCATAAACATACTCCTCGCAACATTGGTGGGATTTTTCCCCAAGGTGGCTGTTGTTCATGATGTGACAATAACAAAGAGTAACCATTACCTAAACCTAATTTTAGAGTAACCATTATCTGAACCTAATTTTAGAATAACCATTATCTAAACCTAATTACAAACCCACACACCTTTTGACTTGAACAGGCCTGCAAAGGTCAACGTCATTTTAAAGGCCCCGTGAAGGTCTAAGTAGCAAATTTGAAGACCTTGCTAAGGTTGAAGCGTTGATTTTTTTTTTGCACTTTACAAAAAAAATGGAATATCGTGATGTGTGCGTTACCATTTGCCATTAAAGATTTGTCACGTGAACACGCTGCAGTGATGCACGCATGCACAATTTGCCATTCTCAAAAGACAGCTCGTGCCGCAGATGGCGAAGGCTTTGGGCCATCACGTAGATTTATCTTTTCTTTTAAAGGATTCACATTTGTAGGCCTATCCGATTCAAAAGGTGCACTTTCAAAAAGCTGGTTGTTGAAAGGTTGTTGTTTTTATGACACTTGCCATCTTTCATTTTTATTTTGGTGTTACTTATCCATGTGGAAAGCAGTGGTGAAAAAAAATCCACGTAGTTGCTAAGAATGACAGGTAAGATGGAAAAAAAAAGTACCAGATGATTGCATTACAACAAAAAAATAAACCACGCGTTTAATGGGTCAAAGAACCGTAAAATTGTAAAAAAACTAAAATTGAAAATTGTCTAACAAAATAAGCAGTTTCTAACTGCTTTTTCAAGGTAAAAAAACAAAGATATACGATGAAATGTATCATTTAAATAATAAAACATAGGTAAAAAACATTTTAAGTTAAAAAACAGCTCTTTCAGCTGCAGTTACAATCTATGTACAGTGTATTTTAACCAATCAGTTTTTGTTTAAATGACAGGGTAGGAAAAGTCACACGTGAAAAAATAGTGGAATGTGGTCCAATACTCTTAACTTAGCATCGTCATAAACGCAGCCGGCAATTTTGCCCCAAAAAGGTGACGAAGGAGGGAAAATACAGTTTGGGATTAGAATGTTGGTTCAGACTCATTTGCAAGGCATGAAGCCTCTTGGCACAAGTGCACCGTGTTTTCATTGGCCGGCCGTGCAATTCCTATCGCACAAACCACAACAAACATGCAAATTGATTGCCGCTCCTCACAGAACACGAGAGAAAACTGCCACCCACCAACAACAAAAATCCTCCCCCCCCCAGATTAAAACATTTTTCCAAAACTCTGGGCTCAACAGCCAGTGTTCTCTCTCTTAGTGATACGGATGAGTATTATTGTAAGTGGGGACCAGTGTAATTCCGCCCGTGTGAATAAAGCGGCGGGATGTTGTCTCTCTCGCCTGGTATACAAGAGGTCGAGGGTTCGATCCCGACCCTTGATGCCTGCTGCTGTATATTTGGAGTTTGCATGTTCTCCCCATGGTCACGTGGATTTTTCTCCGGGTCCTCCGCTTTTTCCCTCCACATTCAGAATCAACGTCACGCGTTTAAAACTATTTGGCTGCTGTAAATTTCACTTCGTTGAGCTATCATTTGTCACCAGGCCACTTATGAAAAAGAGCGATGTAGCCTCGGTGGGTCTTAACCTAGTAAAAATAAAAAAAGTTGTTTATTTCTAGTTTTCGTGTGTAAACCCCACACTCCCCCACTGCTTCTGCGCAATGTTTATGAGACTTCGGGCGGCGACGACGCCGTCACACGCTCGGCGGGCGCCGCGTGATTGGCCACTCGCGGGGCAACCGGCGTCCCCTCCTCGGCGTCACTGTCCGACTGCGAGCCGGACGCAGTCGCCGATCCCGAGGCGTCGGTCGAAGCTGGGGAGGGCGACGGTGCAGCAAGCGGCGGTCCCCCCGGTCCTGCCGCTTCCTTCGACACGGAAGCCGGCGTCGGTGCCACGCGTCTGCAGCCTGTCGCCGCCGCCGCTGCCGCCGCCGCTGCCGTCGTCGTCTTGAGCTGGAACCACGCGTCGCCGAGCGCCTTGGCGAAGTGGTCGTCCACAGAGCCGGTGATGGACACCGAGTCAGCCTCGCGGTAATCCTTGCCGAGGCTGCGGCGAAAGTGCTCCTCGATGACGGGATCCGACACCGCCGTCGCATCCGACGGCTCGGACGCTGCGCGGAATTGCCGGACGCGCAAGCACACACGCACGCACACACGCGCACACACGCACGCACACACGCATGCACACACACACGCACACGCATGCATACACGCACACACGCACGCGCACACGCACGCGCACACGCACGCGTAAAACATATCAGAATAAAAATAGTGCCCATGCATGCATTCTGTAATAAAATTCAGAATGCATCCGGTCATTCAGACATATTTAATTTGTGACAACACCATTACGTTTCAAGCCGCACAATGAGATGATGTCGTTACGTGGTGCATGACGTTCGCTTGATGACACCATACGTTGCGACGTCATTGAGAGGGGAGGCACACGTGTGACATACAGAGATAACGTCAAACGTAATGACATCGCCGCATTGGCCAGCAAGGAGAACCTTTGAAGAGCTGCTCTTTTATCGCCAAGGTCGGCTAACCCTTTGATTAATTTAGCTGGTTTTAAGTCGTCCGTAACAGCACCACAATTCTATGATAAAATTTTGTTCGCATCAAGTTATCGTTCAATCCCAGTCAGAAAGCGTTAAAGAGACAAAGATTTCCCATATTTCCATAGCACATTCTTTGGGCAAATAATGTTCGCGAGCACTTATGAAGGCCGGCAGATCAAATAAGGGGGTGGTGTGTCGAGCACCACACCTGGCAAATGTTTGTCTCCCAAGAACTGATATTTACAGACAAAACCAGGTATTAATTTAAGGCTGAGTCAACCTATGAAGGACCACGAAGGGTCAGGATAACACTTGCCACTGATGTTAGCCATGGCCTGGGATGGTACTCAGGTCAGCAGGTTCGTAGCAGTGCGCTAACTGCCATGCCAAAGACAAATACCCCCTGTATAGCCTTAACAGACTTTTGGAGCAAGTGCTGTTAGCAAGCACCTATGAAGGCCGGCATGGCACAAGAGGAGTTGAGTGGACAGCACTATGCCCGACTGCACCAGGTACTCATTAGAGGTTGACCGGTTCAGATAATCATCACGAGTGCTAATCGTCACGTGAGCGGAAATCGAACTCGAGTCGCGGGGTTCGTTCGCGCAGCGTGCCAACCGCTGCACCACCACTCCGCACAACCGCGAGTGCGTGCGCTTACGCCCGTGCCCGGTTTACGTATTCATGAAAGCGGCGGAGATTAAAAAGGCGCAGAATGTTTTGATCTTTGAGCGGCGAGCACATCCGCGCGTGAAATTACAAGTCACATTACCATTCACTTTATTTGCGTTGATATATTTCAGATTTCTGCGCGGCGAATAATGCCGAAACGCCGTCTAATGCGCCACAGATGCTGTGGCACATCAACGCGCGCGAGCGAGCGTGCGTGCGCGTGCGTGCGTGCGCGCGTGTACTTACGGACGTCTCCGCGCTTGTGTGATTTGTTGGGGCCCCTCAATGCGTGGCGGCTGCCGTGATGGTTTTTCTGATTGAGGGCCGGTGCGCACGTAATGACGGAGGGGCGCATCTTCACGACGCACACGTGACATGGGAACATAAAATTGCGACAGACGGTTGGTGAATTTTTTACCCACTCGTCATTTTGTTTTTTTCACGTGAAATACGTTATCCTGAAAAAAATTTAGCGAGTTGCCGCTTCGGTGAACTTTGTACATAAAATAATAATTAATAAAAAAAAAATATACGAGTTGTCGGCCAATACAATCAAGATCTTCATCTCCTCAAAGTGACAGTATAACTACCTATTATGATATATTTCTATTAACATTTTAACTTATAATATATCCACGCGCAAAAAACAAAGGATCCACATTTAGCTTTACAGTGTCGAGGGAAGCGCCTGTTGCAGCAACAGCGGAGTGATGTGAGCAGGAACACGCCTGGCCGCCTTTGTCTCCTCGGTGTTTTACACTTTTCGCACAAGGTACTCATTTAAGTCCAAGTCGACCTTTGCGAGGGCCAGGACACGTAGATGATACCGCTTGCCACCGATGCTGCCACCGATGCTAACTCAGTAGTCAAGTCAACACAGCCTGCTAACTTCTGTGCCACCTCTCCCCAAACACACACACAGGCAAATATTTGCACCCGTGCTCAGGTATACACATACGTATCAAGACGAGAACCACTCCTCAGAACTAGTTTATCCAGATCTGTCTCATGTGTAGTCAGCAGCAACTTGGTGTGACAGGTTTAGAGGGTTTCCCCAGCATCATCCCGATGGTCCGAGTAGCATCCGCTGAGTCAACATCCTAAAAACAATAATGTTTCCTGTCCAACAACAGATAATAAAAATGACTGACAATACAGTTTATGATGATTGTTACTGGTGTAAACATGCACCTAATCATTGATAACATAGATTCTTAAGCTCATAATGCACCAAATCGTATGTGTAAGAATCAACGTTTTCAGATTCGTATCTACTGTTTGTAAGGGGTTCACATATCCATCTCCAGCCACTAGAGCCCACTACAATAACCGCAAACAAAACAATAACGGATTCTTGAACCGAACTATGACCTTGCCTCATGAGCAGCACGACAGAATTCAAACCCATTCCATGCCGCGTAACTCAGGAGCAGTCGTTTGACCATACTTCACCAATGCTGGCAAAGCGTGATGGTAAAAGAGGGGGCTTGGACCGGTTAAGGTATCACTCGCCACCGATGTTAACCATGGCCAGGAATCAAACTGGGGTTGCTAGGCTTGAAGCACACTGTGCTAACTACTTCACCGCCACTCCCCCTATAAACATCGATGTACAAATATCTTCTACGGTGAACCAGAAACCTGACTGCAAAAGTGCAGTTGAGGTTGAGCACATTTTTTTTATAATGAACGCGAATGAAATAAGTAGCCACACTTCGACCAAATTATAGGCTTAATGTGAAGCCCTGCATTAATGTGTAAATTAATGGGCCTGCATAACCCAGGGTGCCCTCGAAGAATCTTGATAACCCATGAAATCCCATTGTCCAAAAAGCTGGCTTTTGTCGTGAGTAGGCGGATTAAGTGGCTGAAATGAATACGCATCAAGTGCATTGTGCTGCCATCTGTGGGGAGATAATACAAAACAAACTTATCAAAAGTGGATTATAAATTATTCCATGGATTACTGAAGGAGAAGAAGAAAATAATCCAGCCAACAGGAGGGATCGTGCCCGAGAGGACATCCACCACGAAGATGGAGCGATGAAATCCCAGCTCGGCTCGTGCGTTCAAAAGCTCCGGATGGATTGTTACACGGCAGAACTATGCGAGGGATGGCGTCAGCATGGGAGAGGACCTTCATCCAGCAGTGTATTGATTATGGCCGATGATGATGATGGTGATGGCAGGTTGCGTTCCCATGACTTGCAGCCGCGAGAAGCACTACAATGCACCACGGTGTAATGTTTTTCATCAGGACACCCTTCAACGTATCCAGCATTGAAGGGTGGCCGAGCTCATCAGCAGTCAGGCTTGCTACACTGGTTTTAAAGCCAATAAACCACTGTTCTGAGAATGTCAATTTGTAGGAGGTCACAGAGCTAGCAGATTTCCGGCACTAATATTTACAATGTTGCTTTTTGCGTTGAACAAGGCCCCATAGTTCATATGGAGCGCTCTTGACAATCTGGTAACCCAGCAGCATCGGTTTCACAAATCTGACCCATAAAGCTCCACAGCAACGCATGAGGAATTTCTGACCCCAGGACACTTTGCTGCCCTTCCACCTCCGCTACTGCACCTGCTGCTGTAGCACCGCCATCGCGCCGCGATGATGGAGGTGAACATCGTCTTCAGGGACGATCAGCCATGATGCGCCAGCTCCGTGGCAACACGGGGTCGCGCTCGGTCCATCGCCATGGCAACCGGGGGTCGCCGCCAGGTCGGCACCGCCGCCGCCTCCTCCTCCTCCTCCGCCACCGTGGCCGTCGCCGGGGCGACGGAGCGAGGTGGCTGGGGGGACGGACTGCCGCCCGTCCGGGGAGAGCAGCCCACCGTCGTTCCTGCCCTCGGGCCGCTCGTCCCTGCGGGGCGCCTTGCTCCTGTCATGCGCACGCGCCCACAGCAGGGGAGGGCGGGGGGATTAGGCACTGCCGAGATAATTAGGCGCAGGTTTCAGTTTTCGTTAGGCGTCAGCGAAGCTCTCCGTTGCCGCAGCGATCGCGATGTCATCCTCGTCGTCACAGTTGTCGTTATTTAAACAAACCCGCTTGTTTTATTGCAATTGGGCAAAACACCCCAGCACAGGATTCTGGGTAAATTATTATTATTTGGACTAATAAAACATACAATTCACAACACATCATTATATTGTAGTATATTGGTGTTATACTTATGATCATTAGTACATTGTATTCACGAATTCGTACCGTTCTTTTTACTTTCAATAAATTATATGTTGGAGTTTAGTTGAAGTGATGGAATGTGATGATTGATGTCTTAGCCCAAAGTGTACATGGTAAATACGACGATTATAATTTTCAGCCCTACTCAATCAACTGCTGGATGAAGACCTCCCCACACCGCGTTGTTTGGCTGAACTTCACCACGCCGATCAGTAAGGGTCGGTGAAGGGTGGCGGTTCAGGACCGCTTCAGATATCATTCGCCACTGATGCAAGGCCCGTTGCTGTGCAAGAAATTTAAGGTTGCCAGGTTCATAGCGCAGTGCAGAAACCAATGCGCCACCACTCCCCCCTGATGTAAATTCTATATGTGAATTGTAGATGCTGTTAGATTTTATTAAATAAATCAGGATTTTTTTGTTTGTTATCAATCATCATTGAGAAAAGAACAAGGCTTTGATTTGTTGACTGAATTGCATCTTAATTTCCATCCAATTGACAAAGAAAATAAATGTATTACAAACGTTTACTTACATTTTTCGAGGATGTATGATGCAGTGAGATTAATATTATAGAGTGTATTTGTGTTACCCCTTTTAGACTCGGGAAAGCTACAAAGGTAACATATTTCAAGAAATTCCATTGGAAGGCATGTAGGATTATGGTCAGCAGCTTATGAAAGCCCTTACGGTCTGGGGAATATTGAAAGCCACTGTGCACCTTTTTCCATGATGCCATGACTCTAAATTTAAAACCTCTCTTGTGTGTATTATTTAACAAACACACTTATTCCTGTGGAATTTCCAGGCATTTAATACTTTAGGTACCAAATACGGTCAAAGCTTTCAATTAGGCACCATTCTTTGCCAGGCAATATAAATGCTCAGGGGCCAGAGAGCTGATGATCTCAGTCTGGTGACCAATGATGGCACAAAATCATGTTCTTGCCAAATAAATTTTTTTTTATTCTTGGTTCTTTCGGTAAAGTCACGTAGAAGGGAAACAATAAAATAAAAAATACATAAAACAATACAATTCTCAAGACGTTTCGACTGCAACACAAGCGATCATCATCAGGTGTGAAAAACACCTTACTTTGGCAAAAAATCCAACTATCGTCAATGTGCGACGAACTTTTCTCTCGAGCAGTGTATGTCACCCGAATTGAGCTCAGAGAGAGTTCTGTGGTACCACTCCTCCGCTGTCCGTTTTCTAATGTGGTATGAAGCACCGCTCCGCGATTGTTCAGAATACGTTGTTTCGTCTCATGGCGTGACGGCGACAGCACAAATGGAATCGAATCGACAACGGTAAATAATATGTAAATAAACATATGACCTACCATTCCTTCCGTGGAATCCAGATAAATGTTTTTGTCATATGTATGCACATGCGTCAATCGTTTATTTGCAAGGCTAAAGGAAATCTGGACTAGATTTTCGTTTAAAATTAGAACACATACATCAATGATGAACGAGTGCATTAACACACACAGTTGTGTTTAAATGTTGTGTTGTGGAAGGAATTCTCCTTTGGCCCCTGGGCTCGGCAAGCCAACACTGCGACAGTCATTAGGTAAAGGCAGCTTCGTCGGAATGTTCATTGCTGCTAAATATGTTGGTCCAGAAAAACAACAAAACATTTAAGGCGTTTTACATACTTGTGATTTTTTTTTTTTAAGTGTGTTTTAGGATCATTATTTTGACCATTCTCCTGTTTCAAAAAGTTCCCTATGAAACGTTCCCTATGCAAAGTTAAATGGCTCATTGTATAGTAACATTGGAGGGACAGAACGGTGGCGCAGTGATTAGCGCACCCCAATTATGCACCCCAAAATGTAATTTTTTTCTTCTGAAAATATGGATTGGAGAACCAAAATGCATACATATAAACGGAAAAGACATTGACCGTCTCGAATTTGCTAATCATTCGGCCACTATAAAACCAACGGAAATTAACTGTAGGAAATGATTGAGGCGATGAGTACATAAAGTTCACGATATATGCGATCGAACCCAAAAAAGACACGTTATGGATAATATCGGTTGCGAAAGGCTACGTGTTAAAAATAAACCACGAAACAAACTGAAGATATTGGGTTAGAGGGAAGCAACTGGAAAATCCCACATAGCTGTGGCAGAGGTCGCAACCGGGTACCCGATATCCGTACCCTACCCGATACCCGGCTACCCGTACCCGGCCGGGTACGGGTAGCCGTTTGCGACCCTGGTGCGGCCAGGTACGGGTACGGGTAGGCCGTGAGTCACTGGTGAGTAACCGTTTGTCACTCATTTCGGGTAGGGTACGGGTACGGGTAGGGAACGGGTACCCGTACCCGGCCGGGTACGGGTACGGGTACCCATTTGCGACCCTGGTGCGGCCGGGTACGGGTACGGGTAAGGAATCATAACCCGTTTGTGACCTCTGAGCTGTGGCCCCTAACTGGCTTCATCAACCGCCACTTGCCACCGCTGTGAAGCAAGATGAAACAATCCCCAGAGATTGACACGGCACGGACAAGAAGCAATCCGTGCGGCAAGCGGACTTGGAACGAGCTGTAAAATTATCACTTGCAATATTTTTTTTAAAAGGCTAGTCAATTCATGTTAATTTTAGCTTAAAAAAACAGATGATGAATTAATCTCTCTCTCTCTCTCTACTATGTGCCATGTCCTTGCTCAAAGACGACCGTGGGCCTTCCATTCAGCTCAATCCATATTACTCAAGAACTTTGTACGAGATACTCAACGTTGATTAATACCCCAGCAAATTTATTTTTCAGACTGTTAGTGAAGTTGTTTTTCTTTCTATCTCGTGACTAGAAGTCCCTAATTTTTGTTTCCTATGTCCAGGCTTTGTGACCTTAGCAGGAAGCATAGTCACAAAGTATGCATCATTTGCTACAGCGATTACATTTTACGCGCAATTAGGTACCCTGCATAACATATCGTGAAATATAATGTTCATGAAATGTCATCATTTGCACTCGGTGAACTAAATTATCAAGTTATATAACATCCTTCAGTGACAAGGACGATGCTTGCCCAGTCTTGTAAATGCATCTAACTGCCACAATTAATTCATTAATTAATTTTATAAGGAAGACAGCCTAATGAATGAATCACAAGAATGTAGTTGTCCATGTGACGAGTCACCCCCGCCAGTAATTTCGATGAATTGTCACGAATCAGGGTTGCTATTCGATTGGAGAACCAATTTGGTTGAATTGTTAGTTCAGTATCTCATTTGTGTTGTTTCTCATTTATTTCCTGTCTCATCTGAGCAATTTGGTTCACTCCATTAGCTTAAATGTTACACTGACATATCAAGTGAATACAAGTACGGTCACGAAATCTTACACGTACAAATGAATGCGTGTATCAACAGCGTGAATCGGCCGTAATCTACTAATCGATGCATCGTCACATGGCAAAATGCAACCGCCAAGGCGGCCAAGTGGCACACACACGGCCTGCGAACTGCTAATTGCCTTCTTGCTCGATGGCGGTCAAAAACATCAAACTCTTCTCCACGCCGCTGTACGACAGTTATCGGCTGCCAGTGTACCATGCGGGGAGGAGGCAGCCATCTATACAAGGTCCTATTCTCTCCTGTTTTTCGCCCGTGCAGTGCCTACACGTGCTACTGGATTTTGCTGCCTGGCTCCTGTTTTTTTTATCCCTGGTTAGTTTCTTTTTCACTCTTCTCTCGTCAAAGACATGCCCTTAGTTAGGCCCATCCCTCCCCACTCCCGAGCCCGTGGAATTTTTGCACCAAGGTCTTCTAAGGCATGGGAGCAATTCAGTGCACAGGGGCATTCACCAAAGCTCATGCACCACGCTCAACACGCACACACACACTCACCACGCACACACACACTCACCACGCACACTCACCACGCACGCACACACACACTCACCACGCACGCACGCACACTCACCACGTACGCACGCCACGCACGCACACTCACCACGCACGCACACACGTCACGCACGCACACACGCCACGCACGCACGGAAAAATGCCAAGAATGTTGGGGTCCTTGAGTGGAATGCAAGCGACTAGCCCAGACCCAAGTCCGCTTCATGTACATTTTTTTCATTTTTTTTTACTTTTTTTTTTACAAGCAAACAACACACCCAACATTCAGACTTTTCTTTCTTTCTTTTAGACGCAGGAATTGTTGGAATTTTAGGTTGACCTTGCGCCTCGCCAGGTGCCAAGGCTTATTCCAGGGTTCCCCCAGGCACAGCATCGCAGAAAAATAAATGTTGTTCATTCTTCTTTGTTTAGCTCGCCGCTGTACTCCAATTAAAAAAAAACTATAATCAACGATGACTAAAAGAAGTTCATACAAGTGGCATGCGCACCATTCTCACGGCATAAAGTTATCACAAAAATGATATGTTTCAGGGACACATATTTTTGCCAGTAGGGGGGTGATGTTGCAATCTGGTTTTGCACAATCAAGTTGTCTGCTGGTGTTAATAAAAAAAAAGCAAACTTGGACGGTGATACCAGTGTGCATGGGCTACTCCTTTTCTTGACAAATATCACGAGAAATTTTAACGTCTGCCGTGAAACATATTTTATCGATGCAACTGCAGTATTCTCCAGGGAAGCTGCCTGGGTTCGAACCATGGACCTATGGCGAATGCGCTACTGCTCTGCAATGTCACCGTTTTGGACCGGCATGCAAACCTCTGAAAATGCTTTGCGAAGAAGTTTCATCTTTTTATTCCCATTATATACGGAAGAATCTGTCCTCCACTTAGACGCTGATATATTTCCTCTTCGGCTGAAGAAAACACTTGAAGGGTGCTAGGGGAAGACGGCGAAGACCGCTTTCTGACCGGACGTCAAACACCAAACACTGGACGGGATGGAAGCCATCTCAATTGAATGACCCCAGCGATGGACAGAGAGAAAAGTGGAGTGAGCACTGCAAGGAGATATGGGTAGAGAAAAACGGTCATTCTTCCACCGCCTAATTGACCAAGGGAATAGATGGAACTGGACAACCGACTCCTCAGAGCCTCTGCGAGTGACCAAAGTGCAATTTCTCCTGCTGTGAAATTACATCAGTGACAATGTGACATCATCGTTCACAATGAACGGCCACCGTGTATCAAGATGAAAGCTTACGTCTTATTGTTTTGTTAGTTTCTGAAATAAAAAAATAATGCGTCCAAGTAATTGGATACTGTTGGTGCTCAAGCTACATGGTAGAAATTTAGAGAAATTATAAAATGTATAGATTGTGACATTCCTACATTCAACATTAAAATGCTATGAAAGCATGTTACAAAAAAATTTAAAGTATGTTACCAATTGTATTGCGATTGTGCTATCGGCATCGTGTCCGGAGCTCACAAACCCGTTCGGAACACACGAAGATCCGTAAACAAAGAAAACTTTGATTTAATTTTAAGTAAACATAATATACCAAATCAACGTGAACTATTGGTGGTATTAATCTCAACTGATGGTAATTGGCCAGTTGTTGAATTCCACATGGCAGAGACCAGCCCTCTCCAGAAAACAACTGCAATAGGCGTCATGATAATGACAATTAGAATAATTCTCATTATCATAATGCTCATTATTATTAACATTGGAAAGCCTCCCTGGATTCATGTGGGATAAAACCAAAGAACCCGGAGAAAACTCAGCACACATATGAAAGGGGTGTCACTAAACAGTGCCATCTCATTCCAGCTCGCATCCCTATGCCTACAACACTTAGCCAGCCATGGCGGTCTCCCATCTAAGTACTTGAACAGGATCAAACCTGCTTAGCGTCTGAGATATGAATAGATTGGATGCATTTAGGGTGAGTTGGTGGTGATAGGCAATGATGAAGCCTCACCAGGTCATGCTCATTTTGACTGACTCAAAAGCCATGATGACGATGACAAAACTTTAAGTGAGATATAAATCCATGATCTTAGTAGCGAGTGCCCCCGATTATTCACCGAATGAGATAAGCCCTGCTTTGAATGCTAGATGTGGCTTTAACAATGACATCTTTGGTTCTCAGTCATGCGGTAAACAAGGTTCCACATTTCCCGGACCGCTTGGCAACGGAGATGCCTCGGTGTTCGAACTGGTCCAGTCCTCATGAGCCCAGTCCTCCCAGGTTGATCCTGTCACAAGTGAGAGCTCGGCAAACCTATAACCCCTGGCCTCCTTTCTCACAATTCTACAGTGCACTATCACCCCAGGCTGACCCCAGAAAGAGTTGCAGTGTCAAGGGGTCATTGGAGAAGACAGACAAGTTTCCTGCGAAGTCATTCACTTTAATTTTGATTTAAAGCTTTCGTGACTGCAGGGATTCATATTCTTGGTTCTTTCGGTAAAGTCACGTATAAGGGAAATAATAAAATAATAAAAATATTAAACAATACAATTCTCACGACGTTTCGACTGCAACACAAGCAATTTTAATGTTTAATATTTTTATTATTTTATTATTTCCCTTCTACGTGACTTTACCGAAAGAACCAAGAATATGTCATTTAGTTGGTTTAACTTCTGGGCCAAGTTGGTGTTAAGAATACACAGTGGATAATTACAGACAATATAGATTGTAGGTTGCAACTCATGCTTGCATGAAACATGAAATGCCTTTCAAACAAACTTACATAAAAAAAAAAACTATCATCCCAATAGTATTCCAATTCTGCTGTCGGCATCATGTCAGGAGATGAAGAAGGGTCCATACTGAACTCTCACCGAGCAGTGCATAACCCTGTGTTTAAAAGTAGTCCGAAGAAGGATAAATCATGAAACTACTTCTGGGATCTGACATCACATGACAGTCAAACGTATGTATTTAATTGTCAGAGCTAGAACTCTGCCAACTCAAGTGAAAACCTACATTTAATGACCTGGTGTAGTTGTTGGTAGCTGGGTTGAAATCATCAAATTTCTAGACGCATTCGTCAATAACACTGAGAAATATATATTAGGAGACATTTCGGGCAATAGCCCTTCTTCATTGCACATAAATAGAACCTGGTTCAATCACGGGTGGCTGAAACCTGGATTCGAACTCAGCCTATCGGCGGTGCTAGCTCAGTGCTCTGACCCGAGCCATTTGGTCTACCTCGGTTTTAAAGAACGCCTCCTGACCCTTACCCCATGAGGATACCGACAGTAGCAAGGGGCACTGGAAAACTTTAGGTGAGAAACCTAAACACCGATAGGGCTCACGAAGCATGGGGACACACAAATCCGGGCCTTTGCACTGAGCTTGGGCCGGTCATGGGCCGAGCGGGGAATCGGTTGCCATTAGGTCATGCCTACGAATCAGCGAGTGGCCCTTGGGATAGCAAACGAACAAACTGGCAGCTTACAAGTTGAGAGGGCCTGTCCGGCTCGACTGCAGCAGGAGCAGCAACTCCTGGGCCTCGGGGGTGGCGGCACGCTTCCGCTTAGGGCCCGAAGCACCAGGGGACGGCGGAGACCTTTCGTGAGTGGTGAGCGCGAGCGGAGCCGACTGACACCGCTGCTGCCCACCTCCTCCTCCTCCGTTGCCACTGCCTCCAGTGCTTGCATTGCCGAGTCTATCAGCCACACCTGCACAGCAAGAAAGGCAAGACGAGAGCAATGTGTGCGCACAATTAACAAAAGAAAAACGTACGCACAAATATCAACAACTGTTGCGTGGGTTTTCGCAGCTGTGCTCTACAACTCTTCGACGTGTTTGTTGGGTGGCACCACGTGTTGTTTGGTATGTCCGACGTTTCGCTCCACGAGCCGGGAGCTGTTGCAGCACGTGCAGCGAAACGTCGGTTTATCGTGCCGAACAACACGCAGTGGCATTTCGAAAACCACCTTGGAGAGCTACACGACTACCACAATTATTATCGTCACCATTTATAATTTTGCTTTTGATTATTAAGATTATCATTATCATTTGTACGCATTTTTATAAATCTTAGCATAAGAGATTATGAAGATAAATAGATCCACGTAAATGTATGTCCTTGAAGCCAAAACGTCGCGACAGAAGCAGGTTAAACTCATTGTATAGTGGTGGCCGTGGATTTATTTTGCTGCTTTGCGCTGAACAGATCCAATAGCTGGAGTGAATGGCTCTTGTGAACAACATCTGGCAACACAGCAGAATTTTCTCGAGAGGTCTGAAACCGCTGATGAGACCCCGATCGTCTAAACTAGTCCAGAGTTTGTCTGCTTAAACAAATACTTCTGTTGGTCTGGAAAACCCAAAGGCTGATGGACCAAAAATAACATTGTCCCGTCTACACACGAAAACTAAAAATAAACAACTTTTTATTTTTACTAGGTAAGGCCCACTGAGCTATATAGCTATTGTCAGAAATGATCTGGCTACAAATGATAGCCCAACGATGTGGCTAATCACGTGGAAATACATAGCAGCCAAATACTCTAAACGCATGTCGATTCTGAATATGGAGTGAAAACCTGGAGGAAAAGCCACCCATCCACAGGAGGAACATGCGAACTCCAAATATACAGGCGTCAGGTTCGGGATCGAACCCACGACCTCCTTTAGAGTTGACATCTCTTCACTTAGCAGAGTTTCTCAGACACCGGGATGGGGTGTGTGGGGAAAGGGGCTCATGGTAGGATATACAAATTCCTCATCATTAGAGAATAGACATAATAAGCGCCCACGCTTTAGTTTTCAACGTACTGTACCCACAAAAATGACAACAATCTCCCGGGGAAGTCAAAGTGAAAGCAAAAGTGAAGGAACGTTTCTCATTTGCATCCCGAGCCAACGTCTCACAATCTGAGAATGTAAACATTGTCCTTATTCTTTGTTTTTTTCCGGTAAAGTCACGTATAAAGATAAAATAATAAATTAAATAATAGCATACGACGTTTCGATTGCAACACAAGCAATCATCATCAGGTATAATGAAATAGCGATATAGAATCTAACCCGAAAACTATAGACAGACATATAAGCAGACAGATATCACCAAGATACATAGAGAGAGTAACACAGGCATAGAGAGGGTTACTCTCTCTCTATGTATCTTGGTGATATCTGTCTGCTTACATGTCTGTCTATAGTTTTCTGGTTAGATTCTATGTCGCTATTTCATTATACCTGATGATGATTGCTCGTGTTGCAATCGAAACGTCGTATGCTATTATTTTATTTATTATTTTATCTTTATACGTGACTTTACCGAAAAAAACAAAGAATAATTCCTGCAGTCACGAAAGCTCCAAAATTAAGATTGTAAACATTGTCATTGAACATTTATTTTGACATTGACGATGCTTGCCGTCCGAGTTCACGTTTGGCGCGTACCCAGTGTCCGATGCGATTGTGCAGTTGCACGATTTGTCTCTCAATCACCGGATAGGTGGGAGGCATGAAATGCAGACATCGCTCCTTGAGACGAACTGAGAAAATTAAAAGAAATATTGCTTCTCCCTTGTGCAGATATGCAGGTGTAGTATGTTTTTTTTGCAACATGACATTAATAATGCCCTTGTTTGTTTAACACATGGGCTTACGTGACCAATATTATCCATAATAAAGGTTTTTGTGTTAGATCGCGTAGAGAAAAACGTGTCGTTAGAAATATAAGTGTCGTTAATTGGCATGTTTTGTTTACGTGACAAACCTGACTAATTGTCTGTGTGGGGTGGTGGCGGGTTTAATGACACATTATAGTTACGAGATCTAACCCAAAAGTGTCTATTATGGATAATGCCTTTGTTTATCCAGGAAAGCCTCAATCAGTCATAAGACTATATATCTTTTTTTAACTCAAAGTTCTACGCAGAATATTGTATGGTTATTTCGGTAAAGTCACGTAGGTAGAAGAAAATGTAATGACAATAAAATAATAAAAATAAAGTAAAAAAAAATATCACGACATTTCGATCGCAACACAAAGCAATCGTCATCCCCCTCTTGTTTCTCCTGATGACGATTGCTTGTGTTGCGATCGAAACATCGTGATATTTTTATTGTTTTTTATTCACATTATTTACATTTTATTGTTATTTTTTTCTTCTATCTACGTGACTTTACCGAAAGAACCATAGCATCTGAATTCCTGCAGTCACGAAAGTTTTAAGTCTAAATTTCTACACAGAAATATTAAATCCACTTGCCGCACGCACTGCCATATCCTGGCCACCTCATGGCCCACCAATATTGTTGCTCTGGTGGGTATTAAAAAAATAATAGCGCAGAGTGATAAATCATTTCCAGGCCTTTGTCAATCTACTGCTAGATGACGCCTCTACCCATACTCTTGTCATAATGTTAATTTTTAAACCAAACTTCACATGCTGGCGAGTGCAGAGAGAGGGGGGGGGGGGCCCAGACTGAGCACTGGCTAAGATATCTCTTGCTGTCGCCGGGAACAAAACCTCGGTCGTTCGGTCGTTGGCACAGTGCCGCCACGATGTTTTCCTGTTGTGCGGTGCTTGAATTTTAACCATTGTTTGCATCAGCCCCTCAATTTGGCTCGATGGAAAAATGCACGAGTATTTTAACTCCAACGTAAGTAAGCTATGTACACATTGCCAAATGTATCCGTGCATCTATATGGCAACGTACAAACGTTACCCCGTGCCCTTAGAACACATTTCTGGCTCGTATCCTGGATTATATAACCCGAGTGGATTTGGGAGGAGCTCATCCTGGTGTGAACATTTCACCCGGCAGTGTGTATAGCGACAAGGGGGCTTTGTAAGACGATAATACGCGCACGGAAATACCCATGAATATAAACATGACACACGTTAGCCATCCAATGCCATACGCCACCGACAATAAAATGGACAATCGGTGTTCGCCGTCATGCGGCATTTCCCAAGGAATGTTCAGCGCTCTGATGGCAATGGCATATTTTCGTTGTGACAATTCCTGTATATTTTCGCCCACAGAGCAGACAGGAGTGACAATCGTTGGTCTATTTAAATGGGATCGAACCCTAGCTGAATGTGAGCTGCAGTTGCAATCGATTAACTGTGGCAGCTTCTGACAAGCTGGAATTGTGCTCGGATTTGTGGAATGAAATCGGTCTGGGAATTGTTCTTTATAGGATTGGGTGTTATGACAGGTTTGAAACCGTCTGTTGTAACACAAATGAATAGTGAGGTATTTACAACAGATTAGAGTCATGATAATTGGCTTGATTTTTTTTTCATTAGGGCTGAAAATAATCACAATAAATATATCGAGCAAGCTAATTGTGACATATGTACATTGTATATATATACACACACACACAGCATCTTAAAAAAATACTCAGATGCACTATTCATAATTTAATGTATAAAAAAAATCTGACCCAAAACACCGCACACAACTGCAGTGTATAATTTAGCTCAATTAAAATCAATCTTCAGCAGTAAGGCTGATCTCTTGAACTACATTTGTCCCCCACCAACCCTCCCCACCTTTATGCAGGAACAAAAAAAACCCAGCCATGTGTGCGTACACAAAGCAGTGTCTACAATTTACTCCGGAAGAGAGACAGACACTCAGTCAGACGTGTAAAATGTCAGACAGGTTTACGCACGCAGATGACTTAGATCGTACAACAGGAATCCAGGATAGCAGCAATTGTCGTGGGGGGGGGGGGGTGGTTTTGGAGGGGGCAAGCTCAAATAAACAGGAAGACGTCTAAACTAAGCACAATACCATCATCACATCTATTCAATGGTTAATTCCATTACAACTAGCAATATGGTACAGCCCCATCATCACAAGGTCACTGAGCGCTCTGTCTGAACACGACACTCTGTGGTACACTCTGTGCTAGTTTTCGGTGTTTATGAGCTCCTAAAAAAGAAAATAAGAAAGAATGCGATTTCTATTCTTGGTTCTTTCGGTAAAGTCACGTAGAAGGGAGATAATAAAAGAATAAAAATAAAACATAATAAAATAATACAATTCTCATGACGTTTCGGCCACAACGCAATATAGCCGTCCTCAGGTGAAGAACAGGTCTGTCGGAAAGACAGCGTCTGAATGAACACCACCAAGCTTGGCAGTGTATATTTAAGCTTAAATATTGTATTATTTTATTATGTTCTATTTTTATTATTTTATTATCTCCCTTCTACGTGACTTCACCGAAAGAACCAAGAAGATGAATCCCTGCAGTCACGAAAGCTTTAAATCGAAATGCGATTTCTACTTACAAAATATCGCTGCCCAAGTGTTTGCGTTCTGCGGCAATACAAAACACTCACAGTGCCCGGGGTAATTGTTTTGGCGGACGCAACTGACCCCGCTCGCGAGCAACTGCGACTTCTGCTTTGCGTGTTGAACCATCACGCAAGGACATAGGGGAGACACTGTGGTGACGCGACACAAAACTGATATCAGTAATCCGGCAGGGAACGGGATGGGTTCATCCTGAGAGCACGCAGCCACTCTCTGTCCAACCAGCGAATGGTCGTCGTCCCCCCCCGCCCGTTGGTCTGTGGCTTGATTACAAGATAGCACGAGGAGTTCTGCTGCACAAGAATAATATTAAAATCTACACAACCACACTGGCTACTAACTCAACACCAAGCTAACCATTCATGCGCTGTGGTGTGTTTAAATGTTTCGTCATTAGCATAATCCGCATTATGCATTTACGTCACCTTCTTACAGGGAGGAAAACAATAATCACGACGATTTTTTTGTCTAAGTTTGCGTGGGTGTTGCTTAGCCATATCTCGAAAAAAATCAAACAAATTACGCAGTGATACCGCATTGCCAGTGGCGCATGAGCACAAGACAAAATAACACTGCGCGTGTCAATAAACACTGTGTGGCCTTAAAAGGAAAAAGATGAATGTAGCATAGACGTTGTGTGCAATGGACCTTCTTTATAGCAAACATGTTGGAGATGTGCAGAGACGCACGGCATCCCCAGTTAGCTGCAGCACAGTCTGTGCTGAAAACTCTACGTCACCTTGCAAGTGCCGATTAAATCATGATTTTAAGACGAAGCCAAACCAAATGCAGGCTACTTATTACGAAACATAGTGATTGGGAATGACAAAACCGAAGAGCAGCATTGTTAGTTACATATCAGGCCATTATAATTTGGTTTTGTCAAGAAGGCATAGCAGTGGTGCAGTGGTTAGTTGCTCTGCTCTATGAACCCGGCGATCCCGAGTTAGATTCCCGGCCAAGGCTAACTAACATCATTGGCGAGTGATGTCAGAACCAGTCCTGGGCCTTCTCACTTCACCGACCTGTACCGAGGAGTGTGGGTTGGTGGGATATGGTCAAACAACAAAGATCCCCCGTATAGCCTTAACACACTGTAGGGGCAAGTGCTGTTAGCGAGCGCCTATGAAGGCCGGAACGGTACACGAGGGGGTGGGTGGCCAGGACCACGCCCGACCGCCTTTGTCCCACTAGTGGCAATGTTTACACACCGCACCAGGTACTCATTTGAGGCTAAGTCGACCTAGGGGAGGCCCGGGACTGGTTCAGATAATCGTCACTGGTGTTGGCCGTGAGCGGGAATCGAACTCGTGTCGCCGGGTTCATAGCGCAGCGCGCTAACCGCTACATCCCCCATAGGACAAACATGGCCTTTTATCCATAAGTGGATTGACAAAGGGCTGTACAGGACATTATTATTACGAGTGCATTGGGTTTCGCAATTGTGCTTTACAGCTCTCTGATGCGCTTTCAAGCTGCGTGTAACGCGTGCAGTGATATTATTGTTGTAATAATGAGTTTTCAGGGGGCAGAATGCCTTCAGCCAGCTCTTAAGTGTAAAAAAGCCATACCAAAAATGTATTATCAAGTAATGTATGCGCCCGTTTGGATATTTGGAATTCATTACGGTATATAAAAACTCTATTCTGTACGTTAATGAGTGTCTTTCATCGATGGCCTTTGTAACATGTCTGATTAAAGTAAGAGTACCATACATCAATGGTGCTGTTTAAAAAATATATAAATGTTGTGTCCTATACTTAGAGTGTAGATTATTCATAATATTTCACAACTTCAAGGGCACGCTATAGTTTAGCTTGTGCATGACATAACCGTTTAAAAAAAGATTTTAATGCCCAAAAGAAACCAGCCGTTTAAAAATAACGGCACTCCTGTTCTGTGAAATATGAGCAAATACAATTGTACATTAATTATTCAGGAAATTCAACAGCTTAATGATTGTGTAGAGTTTTTTTTTTCAAAGTGAAAAGAAGATTAGGTAAGACAGGGTTGGGCATTGTAGTTGGAGGCACAACCGCCTCTGCCCTGCCTCCCTGCTGTGAAGACAAGCAAGCCTTACTCCTAATCCTCCCCACGCCATCTGCTTGTTCAGATAATGAGGGGGGCCTGGGAGGGAGGGAGGGCAGGGAGGAGGTTCAGGGGATGGTAGGCTGTGGTTGTCAGTTCTTCTTACCTTAATCCGCTGGCCACCTGCCCCATAGGACCGCTGCCACATGTTTAACGACGCGGCCACTCTCGCATATCACAAGGCGGGCTCCCCCCTTTTTCCTTGAGGACGGACGCAGCGATCGACACACCGCTCGGCAAGTCTCAACACGACGCGAAAAGCCACAGAAGCGTTGTCGCCGGAGAGCCTTATCGGTCGGCCGGCGTACGCACGCAAAGCGAGCTCAGGTGCGCGCCGGCGCAATAATCGAATTGCGTCAAAGCTGCCCCGGTGAATTTCATATGAGCTGTGTTTTAAAGGCAACGTTTTGCTCTCTTGCATATATACGGACGCCTCTCTTGGTCTAACAGGATTTTATGGAAACCATCGAGCCAATTGTTCTCGCAGCCCCTTACGCCAATCCAAATCAAGGCCACCGGTATCTATGGCACAACCAAGATCACGATTCAGAGAGATCACATGTCCACACGTCGAGTCGACACGGTGTCAATAAGGCATTTGCTTCGCCGTGTGCAGGAGCGCGATTTGATTTGCTTGCCGAAACGTTGACGCCGATGTTCCCCGCGCGTGTTCGACATTTTATCCTGCACCGGTGTCCATGGCTGCTGCCTGTTGCCCCCCTTACCTTGAAATGCCTGCGTGGGAGGCAAAGACCCGCAATTTTTAGTTTTAAAGCCGCTACATTAACGCGGTCCACGGCAACAGGTGCAGTGGGATGAGGGCCTCCCCATGACCCCTACTTTATCGCGCTTGGTCAGTCGCCGAAGATGGTGAAAGGTGTCAAAGACTTGGAAGGAAGCCACAATGCAATGGCTTTTGTGGTGTTGTCTCTCTGTTGCCCCACGGCAGCCTAAAAACAACTTGTCATGCATGGTGGTCGCCCATCCAAGTGTTATCCAGGTTCAAAGCTGCTTAGCATCATAGGTGTACCGGCTAAATATTAGCACATTCAAAGTATTAGGGGCATCAGCGTGTTTTCCTTGTACGTCAATAAGCGGGATTCAATTTAACACGGTAAAATACGTAACAACTTTGGAGCCATTGCACGTTAAAGTAGAACGTGTGCTGCATTATGTAATCTATCTTATTGCGATCATGACACCATGGGATAATATCATATGTCCAGGTGGCACAGCAGTACAGTGTGAAGGTTACGAGTTCAAATTCTAGTCGGGGATCCACTCACAATTCTTCATCCCTCCGGGGCAGATAAAGCAAGGACCACGTAGTGGGGGGGCAGTCAAGAGTGATTTTACCCCACTCACTCCTGTCATAGGAATGTGACATTTCCAACTCTGGCTCGGTGCGTGCAAAACTGGATGAGCCCGACTCCGGCAATTGAGTGTGAAATAATTTTGCAGGTTTAAACGCAAATTCTTTCGTGGACAGAGGGAAACCCTTTGGCGAATTCACTGCTTCATGACGGCGCCTATGTGCCGTGTCATTCCTGGGAGGTTTTTTTTCCATGATAATATTGCACCAAGGACCGGTTCAGGTATCAGTCGCCGGTGTTAGCCACGGTCAGGAATTAAACTCACATCTCTGGGTTCATCGTGTAGTGTGCCAACCACTCTACATTTTTTAATCAAATTTTTTTATTTAAAAAAGTAAAATCACATCTACTACTGTAAGATAAAAAAAATATGGTTATTCTCAGTTAACAACCAAGCATAAATCCACATATCTCGATTACCATCTCTCTTTATCTGTGCAATGCCCATTCTCAAAGACGCCTGCAATCATGGTCTTGCTTCCACATTCATCTCTGTACCAAGACGTCTACTCAAGAACTTTGCACCAGATGCTCCCCCAGTTGCATCAAATCGTTCACATCGCTTACGTTAACCCAACTTGCTGCTCTGACTCCGGTCTCCTTGTACTACTTAGTCCACAGTACTGCACCAAACATGTATTTTTTACGTGTAAATTTTCCACTCGGGTGTTTACGACGATGCGACGTCTCGCGTCTTTGATCAGCGCGTCGCCCTCGGACGCTCAATGCATTTCTGCGCAAGACACAAGGCGAGAGGGCACGCGAAGCGAGGAACAATACACCGTGTGTGTGGTGTGTGTGCGTGCACGCATTCAAGGCTATAAACGCATGCAAGCAGCATCAGCAGCAGCAGCAGTGCCATCACGAAGTCCCAGCACCCACGAGCATGGATTTATTGAGGTCAGATGAAAACATTCCTGCACACACTGCCATTACCATAACGCCACATTGCAGTGCGGAAAGCTTATCTTCGTTTGGAGTTTTATTGCAGCCTACCTGTAATTCAGCAACCACGTTAATGGACAAGAACCCCCCCAACCCACCACCCTCGCAGCCATAAATAGTTGTGAAGTTCGGGGTTTTTCTGCCATTTACAACCGCGGGCAGTGACGAGCACTGCTCCTGTAAAGTAGGAAGACGTCGTAGAGATGATGATTTTCTTTGGTTCTTTCGGTTAAGTCACGTCTAAAGATAAAATAATAAATTAAATAACAGCATATTACAATATGCTATTATTTAATTTATTTACTTAACCGAAAGAACCAAAGAATAATTCCTGCAGTCACGAAAGCTCCAAAATTAAGAATGATGATTTTCCCTTGTGCGCACGCACACACAACAACAAATAGTTGGGGGTGAGGGATATTAGCGTGAATGCCCCCCCCCCCTTCTCGCATGCTATTGCGGAACGCTCGTACCCCCCCAACATCTACCCACCAGCAACCTGTCCCGTTTCACCGGCGGTGTCTTTGCTCTATAACCCCACCACCACCAACCACGGACTTCACCAGACACGCACGAGAGTGGCTTAACGGGACGGGCACATTCGCCGCTAGAGCAGCAGCAGCAGCATCATCAGCAGCCTGGCGCGTCGCGAACCGATCGCTGTTTGTCGATCAATAGCGTCAAGAAATCGACTCAGCTGCCATAGAAGCCGAGAAAGATAGCGGAGCAGTGTGATGGGGAAGGAGGGACAACAACCCAGACGACCGCCTCGCCACTACCACCATCATCATCATCATCTCCTCTCCATCCCCCCCGCCCAGCCCGCCGATGACAGCGCTTCCTCGGCTGTCCTTACCGTGAGGGTGGAGTGCCACGGTCTGGCTCGGGGCTTTGTGGGCACTTGAGAGCGCGTCTCCTTCTTCCTTGAGCGACGGCTGCACGCAGCTTGCCAGCTCCATGTCTTCTCTTTCCCCCAAAACACACCACCCCAAGCACACACACACACACACACCACTCGCTCTCGCTCTCTCCCGGGGTCCTCGTGGGAACGCCTGCCAAGGTCTCTCTCTTTCTCTCTCAAGGCGTTGCTGTTGTTGTTGTTGTCAGCTCACACGAAAATGAACTCGAAGGGAGTTGCACCGTTGTTTCTTAAATAAAAAAAGGCTTCGCAAACTTCAGGAAAGCGCCTCTCAACAAAAAACAATTTAAAACCGAAATCGAGATTCGCGTGTGCGCGGAGAACTTGTCAACTTAATTCTCTCTCGAAACTTGCCCGTTGCCAAAGTCACCGCCGATGATAAATCGGCGACATTCATTCGGTTGAAAGAAACATGTATATGTTGTTGTTGCTGTTGTCTTAACGCTAATAACGTGTGCCGTTTAACGCGTTACGTGCGCGACTATCCATCCCTCTGCGGTGGCTCTCAGCGGAGCTTCACGCTGCGTTTGCCGATTGCCCTCGCCGGAGCAGGAGGTTTGAGCCCGGCAGGAGAGAAGAGGGGTGGGGTGGGGGGTAGGGCAAGTTGGGAGGTGGCATTTGAAGTGGGGTTGGGTGGGTGAGCGCAGGCGATGGTGGTGGTGGTGTTTGGTGGCGGGAGGATGGAGGAGGAAGGAGGAGCGCATGCGGCTGATGTAAAGAATGGGAGGGTGGGTGGGTAGGCGTAGAGTCCACAGTGGGGGCTGATTTAGGTGCGAACTCAAAACATCTTCAGCCGATAAGCTCGAAAGCCGCAAGCGAATAATTCAAACGCAACAGAAAAAAAAATCTCGCAGCTGACCGCGCGCGCACACAACGACCCGCCGAGCGAACAAACCAAAATAAAATCCGCTATCTTGTCAAACCGAGCATGCCCGCCTTCCCAGCCAGACTCAGCAAGCCTCCCCGTTGATTAGCGAAATGGCTGGAAAAAAAACCGAAAGGCGAGAGACGGAGACAAGAGAGAGAGAGAGACCCGCTCCAGGTGAAAGATTCTTTTTCGACGCTACCATTGGCCCTCTTCCTTAGCGAGGCGTACCCCGCTCGGATGAGGAGGAGGCATTGGGCGTGTTGGGTGTGGGTGGCGGTGCAACGCGACCCGGTGTGGGGTAGGGTGGGAGTGGAGGTGGGGGGCCTTTCCATTTATTACATTTTTTTTAATCCTCTCCCCGTCTCAAAACCTCCTCCCCTGCTTTTACAATCCCTTCTCAGCCAGCTGCCTCAAAGTCACACACAGACTTCTTCCCATTCACCGCACCCCGCCTTTCTCTCTCCTATTCCCCCCCCCCTCCCAGCCAAGGCACTCCTCCCTATGTATTCAAAATATTTCAGCCGCTACGCACAAATGTGCCTGTCGCCCAGGAAAAGAAAAACTACAGGGGGCTTAAGACATCCTCGCTATGTTCGGTATGCGGCAATTTTTGTCGAAATAATATATTTTTTGGGGGTTCATCTACCACTCATGCCCCCGCCACCCCCATTATTTTCTTTTCTCCAATTTCTCTCCATGTTCAGCCCTGCCACTCCCTCAACTTTTGGGTGGCACCCCCTCCTTCCCTGCCATTTTTGGTTTTGCAGCTACCAAACCCACAACTCCACCCCCCACCACCCCGCAAACCATTGGTGGAGAGAGAACGTTCGAATCCAACGTGAATAGGACGTTGCAACTTGTGGCTGGATATGCGGCAGACAAACCACAGCGTACTTGCGTTTGCATTTACACACTTGTACAGTTCGGGGAGCTGCTTGTGGTGAACGCCGCACGCCTTAGCGATTCGCTGTCTTCTTGCCTTGCGGGAAGTACGAAAAGCTCCCGTGCTGTGACGGTATTTGCAAGTTTGCTGCTGCTGCTGGGAATTCAAAGTTGGAATGCGACTAAAGGCTCCTGGGAAAATAGTCGAGATGCTCTCAGCAGAACGACGGCAATGTAGACGTCTGTCCTCATAATTATCCCTGCTCACGAGAAATTAGGAGCCAATTGACCCAGTGTTTATGTTTGTTGTGAAAACATCTTAATATTGCTGTTAAAACAACATATACAGTACAGTGATAGGTTTTTACCCTTTCAACTGGTACGAAAACTGACACCTTTATACAAGGCATCATGTTTGCAATAACCACAACACAAGCAGTCAAAATGCAAACAAAAAGAAACAACTCTGATGATGATAATGATATGCACTGTCCTTGAAGTTGATTGGTCCACCTAAGTATCTGTCGTTGGAGAGACAATGGAGCCATGGGGGGGGGGGGGGGTAGATTAAAATTAAATAAAGGTATCCTGTAATATGTTGACTTGAATTCAGTCATGATTCCTTGATGGATTAAACAAATCCACCTCGTATCATATCCCCTCGGCTATAGCTCTTCAATGCAGTATGTGCTGCTTTATCATAATTAAAGTCGTCTCGGCCCAGGCCCACCCTATGCTCTCTAGGCCCCCACTTGCTCCTCCCGCACTGAGTCACATTAGCACCCACAAGACCGTAAAAAAAAACGGTGACAACAGCTCCCTCGATGCATTTACTAAATTGCAGCACCGGCAAGTGGCAGAACTCGTTTTAAATCATTTCTTTAAATGCCTGCCCCCTCGTGTCCTTTGACCCATCATGTCTGAGTGAGTCAGACCCAGTCACGGTCACTTCACAAGTAAATGAATAACAAATCCGGCCTCTTTTTTTTTACAGCCGCATACAGTGCGTGCGAACTGCCTTCACGAAGGACATTCCAAATTGAGCTTCGTTCAGCTACGACCACCACCACCGTCACCGTCACCACCACCGCTACCACCATAACTCCCTCCCCCCCTCTCTCTCGTCATAATCGAGCCTAATCGTTGAATCGCGTGCACTTTGGTTCCCTCGTCTACGTGAGCTCAGGTGCTGCCAAGGTCAGTCCGTGCACCATTGCCAGATGACCGAATGGGAGGAGGGGGTGGGAGAACTCAAAGAACAACGACCCAACTCAGCTGTTGTATCAATGCCCCGATCAATAACGACAGCTTGACGCACACAACAAGCTGAGCAACCGCAAGCTGTAATATAAACAGCGTGTGGTTTCTGTGTACGAGTAGTGTGTGTTTGCTCCCATTTATGAATTAATAAGAGTAATAATGGAGAGCAGTACAGCATAGTAGGCGTCTGGTCACGTTCAGGCTGAAGTCCTTGATCTTCTCTTCTGCCTATGGTTGATTGTCACTCTCTTATAGGATAAATGTGCCCACTGTTTCCATGCAGTTTTGTGAGATGTGGTCACATTCAGACGCTACCGTAGTCTCTGGATTTAAAGGCATACACCCCCCTCCCAATATTTTAAAAGGATGGTGCGTCTTATAATCGGGTATGTGTGTGTCTGTGGCGGCGAGATTGACCGTACTGACACTTGGCATAAGTCTGGGGTGGCTCTTACTTTCCAGAGCAACTTATTAGCTGCAGAACACGATATGTAAAACCACACAGCATTGTAATTGTGGAAACTGAGTGATTATTTTCTACGTATGTACAAACGCGTGCATGAATTTTCTTCACAAACGCATAAGCACTCGAAAATAAATAAATAAACGCTATGAATAAATAACAGGCAGGATCATGACCCCCTGAACACGGTCTTGAGACTCGGTGAAGCTTTTCTGGGTAAAATAAATAAAAATATACAAAAGTAAATAGAGCATGACATATTTTTTTTTACAGTGCCTTCCGCACAAGTCTCCTTGCATGGCACTTAGCAGGAGAGGAAAAAACCCAACACCCACACTGAACCGACAATAAAGCGGCCATGAAAATCAAACAAGAAACACAATAGCTTTGTATCGCCACCACCACTGCCTCGGTCCCTGCAGCAATCAAAGGAGGTTCACTCCTGGCATGATGGGGTAGAGTGTGAAAACTATTCCTACACTGTAGGTGATCGAAGTCCCGCACCTGCGATTAGCACGGTTGGCTACGTACGGTGTGAAAGAAGTTCAACATACATACCCATGTCTAATGTGCGATCTGGCCAATGTGGAAATGTTGGCTTTATATCCAAATTCACAAAGTAAATCACCTTGATTGCCCCTGCATCTTGTTGTATGTCAGAAACTAAGAAGGTCCGTGGCTGGTTCGTGTTTGGATTGTTGTAAATTAATGCTTGCCAGGTGTCGTAGGCATGGAGTTGCCAAGAGGTGCGAGGTGCCAGCAGTAGAGAGGGCTCAACAGCGATGGGTTTCTAGTCCACGGATAGATTTGGTCTACTCGCTGAATTAAGTCTGTGCATCGATTCGATCTGAGCAGAGATGTCGGTGTTACCCCGTCGTATTCTTGAGTTGTCTCTGGCTATTCCGGTTTCCTCCCACATGAAACTAAATAGTCATTCGTCGAACTGACAAAACATTCCAATGCAGGGGCCCTCCTGGAAGCTGGTAGTAACACTTAGGGAGTCTTTACAGGATTAACATATGGAATTAATATTATTATGTTGAGTTCCTTGCAGTGCTATGGAGTGATGTGGTATGATTAACGGTTAGCACACTGGATTTGCAATCCAGAGGTCGCCAGCGTTGTGGACGAGGTGATTTTCCGTCTCGCCTCGCCTGCTTCCTCTGAGAGAAGCCGCTACAGGAACCGTGACTCAACTTCGAGTCAGGGAGACACTGACTCCATCTGGAAAATGGGAATGCTATTTATAATGAATGAATAATTAATTCATTTGCAGACAATGATGTATTTCTTTGGGTAAAAAATAAATAAATAAAATTTTAGGTTCAAAGGTATTTTAGGGTCCTTCTGGAGCATCGTTGACATAAGCATCTGTTTGTATATGTGACGGCCCGTATTGTCAACCCGCTGTTGGCTGAGGACCTTCTCACGCCGTGAAGGCAAGGAGCGTCGATGAGGGTGTACAGGAGTATTGCACACTATTAGGTCGACTCAGCCTCAACTGAATACCTGGTGTGCGGTGTAAACATCGCCACTGGGGAGACAAAGGCGGTCGGGCGTGGTGCTGGTCCCCCCACCCCCTCGTGTGCCGTGCCGAACTTCATAGGTGCCCGTTAACAGCACTTGCCCCAACAGTCTGTTAAATACTATACGGGGGAACTTTGGCTTTGCAATTGTACAGTACAACAATTGTTTTTGAACGGCTGCCCTCTGCTGCCCACCAAACACAATCCGTAGCCTCTAACTCCTGTTGGTGCACGTGTGATCACCCATCCAATCACTATCAAGGTTCATGCCTGCTTAGCATCCGAGATCTGATGATCAGCAGGGTGCATACGAGTTGATTTGTCCATGGGGAATAATGTGCCAAGGTCGGCGCATTCTGGCCTGGCCTCAACTTTCAGAGTCTAATCAGCAGAGGCAGACTTCTTAAACAAATGTTGTCTGGGTTCTCTGACAACGTATAGGCAAAGGCCGACAACAAAAAATCACCGTGGCGGGCTCTTGTTACACGAAATAACCTCATTGCCACGATGGCAAAAATCTTGATTTGAAGCTTTCGTGACTGCAGGAATCCATACTCTTTGGTTCTTTCGGTAAAGGCACGTAGATAGAAAATTAATAGATCACATCTATTAATTTTATAAAGGTTGTTTGGCTGCATGCACATCTATTAATTTGATATCTACGTGACTTTACCGAAAGAACCAAAGAGCCACGATTGCAAATATTTTTTCAGCGTTTGGACACTTTTCAAAGGTTAACTGTCATTACGCTAATGTCGGTGCACATAATTCGCTTGGATTGTGTTTGATAATTGCTCGTACAGTAAGTCTTGGCTTGGGAATTATTTTCCACAACACAGCGTATTTTAAACATCTACACATGGTCCCTGCCTCTTCAGCATGAAA